GGAGTGCAATGGTACAATCTTGAGTCACTGCAACTTCCGCCTCCCAGGTTTAAGTGATTCTCCTGCCTCAGCCTCCTGAGTAGCTGGGACTACAGGCGCGCCCCACCATGCCTGGCGAATTTTTTGTTTTTATTTATTTATTTTTAGTAGAGATGGGGTTTCACCATGTTGGCCAGGCTGGTCTCTAACTCCTGATCCACCCACCTCGGCCTTCCACAGTGGTGGGATTACAGGCATGAGCCACCACGCCCAGCCTAAAGGGTCATTCTTCATGACAGTTTTCTAGGGGATGGTCTTACCTGCACCCTTCCCTCCGATGTCTGGTTCTGGAACTATCCACGAGACCACTGTTCTTTTGGGGTCCCCGTTGTCTCTTGCTTTGGGATCCTCCCCTCTGCTATCAATAAGTCATTGCAGGCCTGATCCCCAATCGTGAGCCAAAGTCAGGGTTCCTTCCACAAATCTGGACTCTGTGCACATCAAGGGATGTAGGTGGAACCTATTGTAGCGTCCCTCAGGATTCCATGCTGGCCACATTCTTGCCTGTTCAGGACACACAGGCAACCTGTGGGACCGGCTAGCCTAACTACACCAGCCACAAATTCACTCTCTCCCCCCAACCCCCGGTAGTCTGAGTCTTACTTAGCATAGTGCCTGACCCAGAGCACATGCCCAGGAAGCAACAGTTAATTTGAAGAAAACCAGCACATAAATAGGTAATGAGTTAAGAATAAGTCAAGGGGCTGGGCGTGGTAGCTCATGCCTGTAATCCCAGCACTTTGGGAGGCTGAGGTGGGTGTATCACCTGAAGTCAGGCGTTTCAAGACCAGCCTGGCCAATGTGGTGAAACCTCGTCTCTACTAAAAATACAAAAATTAGCCGGGCGTGGTGGCGGGCACCTATAATCCCAGCTACTTGGGAGGCTGAGGCAGGAGAATGGCTTGAACCCAGGAGGCAGAGATTGCAGTGAGCTAAGATTGCACCACTGCACTCCAGCCTGTGTGACAGAGCAAGACACCGTCTCAAAAAAAAGAGTGAGTCAAAGGTTAACTTTTTGGGTTGGAAGAAAAAGGGTAAGAAAGAGGATACAGAGTTTGATCTAAGTTGGCATCAGATAGAGTAACCATGGACATTTGGAAGCTGTAACCTCTCATATTTCACCAAGGATAACTGCTTCATGTATTATCATGTAATGTGTTTTATGCATGATGGAAAACGTAAAAATCATCTTAACCCAAACCTGCATTTTAATGCCACATGGACCAGCTATAATTTATGGCATCTTTAAGATAGATGGGTACACATATTATGAATATACTTTCCTTTTGCCAGACCTTGACGTTCCGTAGACTTTTAATGGAATATCATTTGCCTCCTTCATCTTACCTTGACGTATGAGGTGGATGGCTTACGTGCAGGGTAATGTATGAACCTTCCCAAGCTCTGTACAAATATAACTTGTCATTCGTAGAGACGTATGTATTTATATGTGTGAATGCAGTCTTATTTGTAGATTTTCTTCCCATTTGCTTAATACTGAGCACTATGGCCTAGTGGTGAAATTTACAGGTACAACTCACAGCAGGCAGTGAAACCGTGGACTCAGCTGCTCTTTCCTTCGTTCCTCCCAGGCAACATGAAACAGTCATCCCGGGTGACCTCCCCCTCATCCAGGAAGTCACCACGACACTCCGAGAGTGGTCCACCATCTGGAGGCAGCTCTACGTGGTGAGAAAATGAGATATTCATTCAAAGCTTAGAAATAGAGAGAGAGCTTTTTTGACCCTGATTTGCCAATGGGATGATTTTCTTTCTCAGCGAACCTTAAAAGCAGAGCTTCTGAGACAGAGTTTTACTCAGCAAAGGCAAAGGAAGCGACATGACTGAGAGTTTAGCCCCTGTTGGGGGCTGTGTGCCCTTCGACCTGCCATGTATTTGGGTGTATTACAGTGAGCTGTAGCGGAAGGGACTATCGGATGTGTCTTTCTTTGCATTGGAAGGAGAAATATGGTTGTTTTTAGGCCCCTGGAACATGGGATTGGGCAGTGTGTTGATGTCACCTTTTAAGCAGTAATAGGTGCTTATTTAAGGATCCAGTAGAGGGCAATTACTATTTATTTATTTATTTATTTATTTTTGCCATTGTCTGACAGTGGGTAATACCTCTTATCATTTAAGAAAAACAGCAGAGTCTTCTAGATTTACCCGTGTTTGTGACAGGGATAGGGAAATATTTTACATTCCAGCTTCGTGTGCAATTGTCCAGTTCTCCTGATCACAGAAGAAGTCTTATTAATGCAGAGAAGTTGAAGCTCTGACATCTTCCATTTCATATTCCCTCAGGGCATTTCTTTGCACATAAATTCATATTTGCAGAAGATTACCTTTTGTTAAGCTTGTATTTCTATTCAGAGTGTTGATTTCCCATATGCTAATGTTATTATCACCAAGCCAGGGCTGTGGAAGGAAGTCGGTACGTTAATTTCTTGAGAACATAGAAAACTTCCTAAAGTCCTGCAGCTGCTTGTTGGGCAGGCTTGTTGTTTTTGATTATACAGTGGTTTCCTGTAAATGCACAGTAATAAGCAGTTGCAGTAATTGTCATCAAACGTAGTCAAAAACCTAAAAGCGTAAAGTTAGCCATGAATGTTTTGTGTAAATCTGAGCAATTCTGTAGTCAATGTTTCATCTTCAACTTAGCAATTTTTAAACAAAAATACGGCAACAAAAGAAACAGGAGTTGGTGCTAATAGTCAGTGGACCTCCTTCAGTCTATCACCCTAGAGTAGGTATTCTTCATGAGCACTTTCGTTTCCTTTTACAAAACTTGAAATTGCCTCTCATAGACTTACATGGTTGGATTTGTGCAAAGAAAGCCAAGCCAAAAAATGGTTATAATATTTTTCTATGGGTTGGGTGCAGTGGCTCATGCCTGTAATCCCAGCATTTTGGGAGGCTGAGGCGAATGGATCACCTGAGGTCAGGACTTTGAGACCAGCCTGGCCAACATGGCAAAACCCCATCTCTACTAAAAGTACAAAAATTAACTGGGTGTGATGGAGTACACCTGTAGTCCCAGCTACTCGGGAAGGAGAGGTAGGAGAATTGTTTGAACCCGGAAAGTGGAGGTTGCAATGAGCCAAGATCGCACCATTGCACTCCAGCCTGGGTAACAGAGTGAGACCCCTTCTCAAAAAAAAAAAAAAAAAAATTCATAAGAGTTTTTGGCTCTGCTCTGTGGTCGTAGATATTAGCAAACTATTAAGGATTTTAGATAGTTGATACAGCCTTAGAGCAGTGGACAAGAGAAGGCAGTGTGGATATTAGAAACTCCTAGAAAGAAGGTTAAATACCAGTGTGAGGTATGTGGTTCAGTTATGTAGAAGGGGAGCTTTTAAAAAAAGTGGCAGTGAACACAGTTAATGTTTTAAAGGGACCATGACATTTAGATATCTTTTTTATTTATTTATTTTTTGAGACAGGGTCTTGCTCTGTCGCTCAGGCTAGACTAGAGTGGCACGATCACAGCTCCCTGCAGCCTGAACCTCCTGGGCTCAAGCGATGCTCCCACCTCAGCCTACTGGGTAGCTGGGACTACACCTGTGAGCCACCATGCTCAGCTAATTTTTTAATTTTTGAAGAGATGAGGTCTTCTTATGTTACCCAGGCTGGTTTCCAACTCCTGGGCTCCAGCAATCCTCCCGCCTCTGCTTCCCAAAGTGCTAGGATTATAGGCCTGAGCTCCCAAGGCCTGCAATGCTTAGAATTTTATCACATTAGGTTCCACCTAGATTTCTTTTCATGGAGAGAACCACTGAGTTATTTTCCTTCAGATAATCTCTAATCTCCTTGATCATTGTACACTTGTAATTGCAAGCTGCAAACTGTTGCTTTTCTTTGAACTGTCAGTCCCATCAAAATTCTTAGAAAGTGGTAAGAAGTGTGAGTTTTGCATCTTATTTGCATTTTCCTCTTGTCACAGAAGCACCAAGAGCTTGTAGATTGAGATTTGGCCTCTTGCAGAAGTGTCTCTTGTGGGTTGTACACACCACAGTGTGCAGCAGCCAGCCGAGAGTGGAATGCTTCTTCTTCCCTATAGTTCAGCTGAGAGCAAGGCCGAGGAGTTCAGGTTCTCAGTGTGCTGAGAAGGGTCCAGGGTGCAGGGTGTTCTGAAGACCATATGCAGGTTGTAGGATTCAGATCTTTAGGCTCAGACTAATTCTGGAGGAGCTTTAAGAGTTGCCCGTCTCTGATCCAGATGCAGGAAGCTCACGAGCAGGTGTTGACGTTCAAGGTCTAGCCCGTGTTGGGATCACTTTTTTGCTTCAGTGGCATGTAGAATGTTGGATGAAATCTTGGGGATTATGCATTACTTTTTATTCTTTTAATATTTTAATGTCTCATGGAAAACCAAATCCAAATAATATGTTTCAGTGTATGCTGAAAGCACCTTTTAATTCAACATTAACTAAATCTCATGATCTAGTGCTTATACCTCATGTGTATTTGAAGAGATATCCATTCTCTACCATCTTCACAATGCTGTTTGATAACAAAATCTTTATGATTGGGTTTTTCCCCCTGTATAGCAAGATAACAGGGAGATGTTTCGAAGCGTGCGGCACATGATCTACGACCTTATTGAATGGCGATCACAAATTCTTTCTGGAACTCTGCCGCAGGATGAGCTCAAAGAACTGAAGAAGAAGGTCACAGCCAAAATTGATTATGGAAACAGGTTTGTTTATTTGAAAGATGATTTCACGCTTAAATTATCCAATGTAATAACATCACTATAAGCCTTCAAGAGACCGAGACCACATTTTATCATAAAACAAAATTTCTACTCTCAAAATAATGGCATGTTTTTCATTTTGAAAAGGATGAGGTATTTTCCATTGGATTCTGAACAGGGGAATTTTGTGAGCCATTCTTGAAACCTTGTCGTTATTCACGGGATAGAGTCAAGAAGCCAGGAAGCCTGTCGTTTTCACCGTTCTGGAGGGAACCGTATCATTACTCCCGTAGCAAGGAGCTTTTACTTTCTGATCATAGTTTTTGACGTTGAGTCCAGATCTGGCGGGGCCTTGTGTAGTGACAAGCAACAGGTTTCTTTCTGTGGAATCCAAAGTTCTGAGAGTCGGAGTGGACATTAGATCACTGGAAAGTTTGTCACCTGTGTAGGCTTGCCAGATTTCACAAACAGAAATACAGCCCAGTTAAATTTCACTGCAGTAAACAACAAATAGTTGCTTTGTGCAATTATGTCTCTTGCCAGAGCAAGAGCTGTTCCCATCCACAGCAGGCATCCCCCCAGCTCTGCATGAGTGCCTTTAGTGCTCACCCCTGCCTCCAGCTGTACCTTCTAGTGTTAGCATGTGTTTTTTGACGCTGAAAGGAAACAAGCTGCTCTGATCCTAATTCTGCTGGGTCCTGTAACTAGAATGACGCCAAGACCTTTTCCACCTGATAATATTTAGTTTTTCATAGAATAGCGGAACTGTAAGAAGCCTTAAAAAGTATCTGGCCACATGGTTCCCAAATGCTCTTCTATATCAGAATCACTTGGATAGCTGTTGAATTATAGAATCTCGAAACCTATCCCTTAAGGCTCTGATTTGTGATATCTGGGATGCTGGCTGGAAATCTCAAGTTTTTTTGTTTTGTTTTATTATTATTATTATTTTTTGAGATGGAGTTTCGCCCTGTTGCCCAGGCTGGAGTGCAGTGGTGTGATCTTGGCTCACCACAACCTCTGCCTCCCAGGTTGAAGTGATTCTCCTGCTTCAGCCTCCCGAGTAGCTGGGATTACAGGCATGCACCACCACTCCTGACTAATTTTGGTTTTTTGGTAGAGATGGAGTTTCTCCATGTTGGTCAGGCTGGTCTCAAACTCCCGACCTCAGGTGATCCGCCCACCTCAGCATCCCAAAGTACCGGGATTACAGGCGTGAGCCACTGCGCCCGGCCGGAAGTCTCAGTTTTTAAAAATAGAGTGGGGTTGTGCTGGACAGCAGATTTGGAAAACTTCTGGTTTAATTCAACCCCCTCATTTTGCACACTGGAATGTGGAAGTCAGAAAAGAGAAAGGGCTTGCTTCCAGCCACTCAGCAGAAAGGAGTCCGGGTAAATCAAAGAACCTTTCTGTAAAATCAGAATTATCACATAATTTTCTGGTAATTTATGTTTTGAAGTGTGAAAAATTTCTTAAAGCAACGTTATGAGCAAGATGTAGGGTTTGGATTAGAAATGCCGTAGGAGAAGGTTTTTGTTTTTTTTTCCGGAAAGCCTGAGATATTAGCTATTATTGCAGTAAAACCCACTTCAAGACCACCTGCTTACAAAAGCAGACTTTTGGAGCTTTGATTTGATTTTCTATTGGAGTATCATAATTTAAACTTATGTTCAGAGACCACCTGCTTAATTTGGCTGCAGGAAGCTAGCAAAGTACATTGTATCATGGAAAAATGTAGTTAAGGAAGGAAGTGTTTCCAAATACAATTTACTACTTTGATAGGAAATACAGTCCTTAATAAGACGGGTTTTTTTTGCCCAAGGATCTCCAGCCTCCTCCATAATTTCTCCAAAGCCCAGCACCCTGCATATATCTTCCTAGTGCTTCCTTCAGAAAACCTATATGATGCAAAATGATATCACAGTGTTGAATGTTTGGTTTTAAGGTGGGTGGATTTAATAAGGAAAAGATGTTTTGTGTCTTTTTCATTCATTGCTTAGGCATTCTTGCCTTTGAAATTTATTTTTAACCTGGGTGGAGGGGTTTGGAGAGCTATTTGAAAATGTGATGAAGGTCTTGGACCATATCGCTAGAAAAATGCACATATACAATACACACATACAGGCACACAGACCTCCCAACACAGACACACACACACACACACACACACACACACAGAGTTCTACACATGATTTCAGGTTGGGTGGGGGGCTCCCACACTGTCCTCATAGGTGCCTTAGGTTTCCATGGGCTTCATCTCTCCATTGCCTTGTTGTGGTAAGTTGCACCTTCATAATGGAAACTCACTCTGATTCAGAACCAGCTGCATACTGTTTGCTGAGAATAATGCGTAGAAGGGTTGACCGGACAAGCCACTTCGTGTGACGGTTTGCATGTGGCATTCTAGAAGGAGCATGGCTCTGCCACTGGAGAGTTCTGACACAGCCCAGGCTTTTGGAATAAATAACTTCTCCGAGCTTAGGGTTCCTCCTTTGTGCAATGGGTCTGACCATCTGCCCTGGCAGGTGTGAGGTGATGACATGGCAGGACGTGCATAGCAGGCTGGCACAGGGCCATCCTCTCATGTGTTCCCGGAGGGACCCCAATTCTGCGTGGCCTGTAGGACCTACTGGCTGGGCTTCCTAAGCTGGTGCTTTGTAGCTACCCTGGCACCAGCAGTGACGTGCCCATACCAGAACTAATCATGCCTACACTAGAAGTGACCACGCCGCCACGAACATTGGCCGAACCCACAGTAGTACTGACTCTATCCACGCATTACTGACCCCTGCCCACACCAGTACAAACCATGCCCACACCGTCTGACCCTGCCTATACCAGCACGTTCCTAGGGCTAGTTCGGGGATAGGTTAAGGAGTAGTATTTGGGAGGGAGGAGCTTGCCTTGTTAGTGAGACATGTTACCAAGATAACTAATGAGACCTTAAAATGCTTTTTACATTTTCTCCAGATGTCTTTCTGTTGGTCTTGAGGCATCCCGCTTACACTGCAGCCACCGAGGCTGTTTTCATGCAGTGCAAAAAGCCTCTATTTGTTTAAAGTCTGTTTACCCTGATGCTGTTGACAGGCCCCGTTGGTCCTCCTGCTTCACCGTCAGTGGAATTTGCTCAATAGATATTAAAAGGAAAAAATGAGTTTTCTGTATTTGCCTTCCCAGTGGTACAGTGCTTGAGCAAAACTCCAAAGACTAAATATGTTTGAGCTGCTGGCAGACTCATATCTGACTTTAAGGTGTGTGACCTCAAGACTCGAAGTCTCAGGGTGGTTTTTCTAAATGGGGCATTTATGGGCAATTCCACTTTCCTCTTTAATTTGTAACTATAAAGATGTTCTCTAATTGAAATTTATCATTCTTTTTTTCCTTTTTTTTTTTTTTTTTTGAGACAGAGTCTCGCTCTGTTGCCCAGGCTGGAGTGCAGTGGCCGGATCTCAGCTCACTGCAAGCTCCACCTCCCGGGTTTACGCCATTCTCCTGCCTCAGCCTCCTGAGTAGCTGGGACTACAGGCGCCCGCCACCTCGCCCAGCTAGTTTTTTTGTATTTTTTTAGTAGAGACGGGGTTTCACCGTGTTAGCGAGGATGGTCTCGATCTCCTGACTTCATGATCTGCCCGTCTCAACCTCCCAAAGGAAATTTATCATTCTTTCAAATGACTCTCTTTCCTTTTTCATATTGTTAAAAAAGCCCGCCTCCATCGGCTTGTTAATTACAGGAATATAAAATCCCAACGGCAGGGTAAGAGGCATCTACGGTTAAATTTCTGCCCTTAGACCTGCATGTTTTGTGAACGAGAAAGCCAGAACCTACTGCCAGATTACAACGCTTGATCTCTTTTGTTACACAACTGCCTGTGTTCTTTAAACAAAAACTGTGGTAAAAATCACCTTATAATTTTGTTGGATTTGAGGAATCAGAGACAGTGTTCCCCAAAATATGTACTCTTATAGACTGGACAGATTTATTAGCCAGATGTTGCTTGTGTTTTTAGTTGGCGACTGCATTTAGCCATCTGGCCAGGAAGTTGCTTAACCTTGTTGTAGATAACGTTCATATGTTTGGTGTTCACATACAATAGAACATCTGTATTGAAAATCTTCCTGTGGCCTCATGTAAGGACTAGAAACTGACTCGAAGGAGAAGGGGAGACATGCAGGGGACCCTGCCGGGGTCAGTGGGGAGTAAATAAGGTGGTGGGTAGATCTCTGCTCCAAGTTTTCTTCCCTCTCTCCTTCCTCAACTCTGTGATATTGTCAGAACTGCCAGCTATGCGTTTGGGTTGATGGATGTATAGGTGATTGCATATATATGTGAATATGTGTGTGTACATATGTAGTGTGCTTTAGGCTGGGTGTGCTGGCTCACGCCTGTAATCCCAACCCTTGGGGAGGCCGCAGTGGGTGGATCACCTGAGGTCAGGAGTTGAGACCAGCCTGGCTAACATGGTGAAATCTCATCTCTACTAAAAATACAAAAATTAGCCGGGTGTGGTGGCACACGCCTGTAATCCCAGCTACTTGGGAGGCTGAGGCAGGAGAATCTCTTGAACCTGGAAGCAGAGGTTGCAGTGAGCCGAGATTGCGCCACTGCACTGTAGCCTGGGCGACAAGAACAAGACTCTGTCTCAAAAAAAAAAACAAAAAAAAGTATGCCTTCAGACTTTTCATATTTTACATAATAATTAGTAATACATACTTCACTTGGGCCTTGTAGATCTGTAAAACTTCTCATTGGAAGACAAAGCCACTGCTGATTGCAATGGAAGTAAAAATTGAGGAATTTTTTTTTTTTTTTTTTTTTTTACTTCTCCCGAGGTGACACATTTTGAGCTAAAGAGAGCAACCTCCAAGAATTTCATATTCCTAATATTTGTGGGCAAGCCTGACTTCCTAGGATGTTTTTACCTGCCCAGTTGCTGTGGTGGGAGTTATGCTAGAAAATTCAACCTCCTTGGTCTATGTCCATGAACTTCTAAATTCTTATTGTTCTAGAATTCTAGATTTGGACCTGGTGGTTAGAGATGAAGACGGGAATATTTTGGATCCAGAATTAACTAGCACGATTAGTCTCTTCAGAGCTCATGAAATAGCTTCTAAACAAGTGGAGGAAAGGTTACAAGAAGAAAAGGTAAGTTTGACTCTCTGTAATATGCCTTTTACATTTGGAACACGTTTTCTCAGTAATAGGTTTTCAACATTAGTAAAATATCAGTCAAGCCCAGAATTTTCACTAAGAAAGAACCTGAAAAGGAGTAGCTGCAGAGTGTGTGTCCTACAGCCATGAGTGGAACGGAGCCTGGTGGCACAGGATGTCACCCATGACATGAAAGGGGATTGGACAGCATTGTGTTTCATCTTAGGGGACAGGATCCTAATGATGTTGATTTTGTGTTCTCATCTGTCAAATGGGACACAAGACTTGATTCTGCATTTCCTCTCTGTTAATGGTAGGCAGGTTATGTATTCAAGCTCACTGAGGGCAGAGAGCACATGTCTTACTGGTTTTTCATCTTCTGTGATCTTTAATGGTATCATATATGCATTAACCTATTCTCTCCTTACTATAAGGAAGTGCCTGAGACTGGGTAATTTATAAAGAAAAGAGATTTAATTGGCTCATGGTTCTGCAGACTGTATAGGAAGGAGAGTGGCTTCTGGGGAGGCCTCAGGAATCTTACAATTATGGCGGAAGGCGAAGTGGGAGCCAGCACTTCACATGGGTAGAGCAGGAGGAAGAGAGAGGGTGTGCAGGGGTGCTACACGCTACGCTTTTAAACAACCAGATCTGTGAGAACTCACCATCATGAGGACAGCACTGAGGGGATGGTGCTAAACCATTCATGAACAATCCACCCCATGATCCAGTCACCTCCCACCTCCCATACACACACATACACACAGTAGATATTCAAAACTGATTGAATAATTGAATCATCTGTTAATTCAGTAAGTATTTACTGAGCATCTACTGTGTACCAAATGTTGAAGACATAATGATAAATGAGACAGATGTCCTTGGAGGGTTTAGTCTAATGAGGGAACAAAAAATTAAATAACTACACATATAATAATTATTTTGATTTATTGGTTGGACACCTGAAAGTTTTGTATCTTCGAAAATAGCACAACAATTGCACGGGATACGATTTTTTTGTCTGTTGTGTGAATGCATGATTTAAGAATGTGCAGGGGAGATAAGAAGGTGACTGCACCAATGGCTTTGCTGGATTATGCCAATGAATTATTACCTTTTTCTATTCTGTAGGGAATAAAGAAAGCAAGTGTTAGTGATGAGCGTTGCTGGGGTTGACTTTCTGTTTCCTTCCATTCACAGTCTCAAAAGCAGAACATAGATATTAACAGACAAGCCAAGTTTGCTGCAACCCCTTCTCTGGCCTTGTTTGTGAACCTCAAAAACGTGGTTTGTAAAATAGGAGAAGATGCGGAAGTCCTCATGTCTCTGTATGACCCTGTGGAGTCCAAATTCATCAGGTAGGTGAAATTTCTTGGCGGCTGTCTTTCCTCTTTGGTTGGTGTTAGGAACGTGGGATCAGAACCACTGACGCGCGCCATTCATGCCGAGAGGCCCCGGATGAATGGCTGCTGGACACGACCAAGCAGCCGAGCCAAGAGCTGTCTTGGGCAGTGTGATGGCAGCCAGTTTGGGCTCTGGGTCAGGGTGAACCTTCTCGCGTGTAGATTGCTATTTGCTCGTAAAGTTATAGCAATTGCAGGTACACTCTGTAGAGTGCAGCTGAAGATTGAAGTAATACTTTGTTTCCTAAGTTGTCTTCATAAGATTTTATGTACCCTGGTCCCTCAAATATCACTATTTCCATTTTTCAAAATTTGGTTTCTTTGAATGCCATTTCTGTGACTTTCATCCTGTTGTTTTTTCTGCAAGATGATTGACTGGAATGCATCATTTAGAATGGTGCCTGCCACATACAGACTGTCAATTAATATTTGTTAAATGAAAACACTGTAAGTCTGTTATTCCTGCTTAGCCTTCAGTATAACTTTCTCTTTGCCCAGATGGAAACATTGTGGTTCAATTATGTATGAATTGTGTGTGTGTGTCTGTGTATATGCTAAAACTCGAGGATCTTCACTTGTATTATTCAAAATTTGAAAACTCAGTGTATGAATGATACAGAAAAATATGAGTGGATTTTATTCTCACTTCTGGTAAAGACTTTGTTTCCTCTTGACATGGGATGCAGTTTTTATTTTACAGTGTATTTGGTTTGTCATAGGTTTTGAAATAAACATGCATTGTGCTGAATTTTATAGTATTGTCATTCTAAATGAACAAATAGGCTCTTAAAAAAAAACCAACTTAGAAATACCATTTGCAAGTAGTTCCATTACAGTGACAACCCAAGACATCCCACATTAAAACTTGGCAGGGTTTTTCTGCTGTGGATGTTAATTGATGAGTAGCTGTATGTGCTATTTTTGATATTTATAAACTCATAGTTGTCTGTATAGTGCACCTACGTGGTATTAATTATGAAGCAATGTGGCTGTACATTTGGTACTCTGTTATTTGGAAAATTAACTTGCTTTTATTTCTCCCTTTTTCAAGTGAAAACTACCTGGTTCGCTGGTCCAGCTCAGGATTACCTAAAGACATCGACAGATTACATAATTTGCGAGCTGTGTTTACTGTAAGTGCACGCAAAGATGTTTGGTTGAATTGGCCGCCATTCTAATGACTACTTTTAGTGATTTCTCTCGGCCTTCCTGCCACACTAGAACATGGGTCCCTGGGATGCCTGTAATATCGGTTAATTTAGTATTACTAAGTAGAGTGCCTTTCCAGAAATCTTTTGAGTCTATAGCCACCCTTAGAATGACCGTGACAAAGATTTACCCCATTACCATGGAATGTGCCTCTTAAATGTGTATCTTTTTGTTTTGTTTTTTTTTTTCCTCCAGATGGAGTCTTGCTCTGTCACCCAGGCTGGAGTGCAATGGTGTGATCTCGGTTCACTGCAACCTACACCTCCTGGGTTCAAGCAATTCTCCTGCCTCAGCCTCCCAAGTAGCTGGGATTACAGGCACACACCACCACACCTGGCTAATTTTTTGTATTTTTAGTAGAGATGGGGTTTCCCCATGTTGGCCAGGCTGATCTCGAACTCCTGACCTCGTGATCCACCCTCCTTGGCCTCCCAAAGTGCTGGGATTACAGGTGTGAGCCACTGCACCCAGCCCTTAAATGTGTATCTTAAGCTCACTTAACAGTAATTGATGATTGTTATTAAATTCCTTTCTGTCATATGAATAACTGATTAAAATTATAAAAATGAGTCTGAGAAAAGAGTCTCAATCCATTTTTTTTACTGTCCTTTTCATTGGAACTTGCATTGAATAATGGCTCTCCAAAATAATTTATGGAAACTGATATTTCTAGGACCTCGGAAGCAAAGACCTGAAAAGGGAGAAAATCAGTTTTGTCTGTCAGATTGTTCGCGTGGGTCGCATGGAGCTGAGGGACAACAATACCAGGAAACTGACTTCGGGGTTGCGGCGACCTTTTGGAGTGGCTGGTAATCCATTTCTCTGTGTTTCCTTCAGAGTTTCAGATCGTCACAGTCACTTTCACAAGAACCACTGCTGAATGGTGATTGGTCAGTGGGCAGCTTTGATTTATAAGCTTTTCTGCTGGAGAGAAAAAATATATTTATTAGTTATTTTCATTGTGGCTTCCAGTTGACCTGCTAGGCTCAGGATGTTCTAGGCCTCAAGTTTCAGATGTAAATCATATATTTGGTTTTAAAGTGAATCTCATCTTTCTCTGGGAGAGATCCTGACCTATATTCTCAGTCCGTAGGGAAGTCAGTCAGTGGAGGGTTTCAGGTCTTGGTGATGGACATCAGAATGGATTTGTGCAGGACAGTCAAAGCAACGAAGGGGAGGAAAGAAAGCAAACCGTGAAGAGGACGCAGTTAGCTTCATATTGTTGCGCTTCCTCCCCCACGTGGGTGCGCTTCCTCCCCCACGTGGGTGCGCTTCCTCCCCCACGTGGGTGCGCTTCCACCTTCACGTGGGTGCGCTTCCTCCGCCACGTGGGTGCGCTTCCTCCGCCACGTGGGTGCTCTTCCTCCGCCATGTTGGTGCTCTGTTATTTTCGGTGACAGCACGAGGAATGTGAAAGACCAGTTATCTCTGTTGAGGAAAGATAAAGGCATACCAGGAAGTTCTAATTATTTGCCCTATTTCAGTGCCACTCTCATGTTTCATAGTTTTGGGAAGTGGTTTTCTCTCTTTAATGGTTGCTACAATTTCATTACTTAGCACTCTGATATTTATTTTATGTTTGTGATTTTTGGGATTCATGTGAATATTCATGTGGGAAAGGTTCCTGATTCTTGACACACAGCTGGATTTTTTGTATGAACAGCCGTGGAAGACGTTCTTTGCCTTGGCTACCAGGAAACTCTGAACTTAGTCCATTCCCCCCCTGCCTTTTAAATAAACATTATTTTTAGAAAGGTTTTAGGTTCAAGCAAAATTGAACAGAAAATATAGACAGTTCCTATATATTTCTCCTTCCTTCTCCCTGCATCCCCATTATCAATATCCCCCATAGATTGGTACATTGATTGCAGTTGGTGAACCACATTGACACATCGTCGTCCTGTGAAGTCTGTAGTTTATGTTAGTGTTCATTCTTGATGTTGTGCCTTGTGTGGGTTTCGACAGTTGAATAATACGTATATTCCCCATTGTAGTGCCACTGGGTAGCTTCACCATCCTAAAATTCCTATGTGCTCTGCCTGGAATTTTTGGAAAAATATTTCAAGTCATTTAAATGATTTACTGTATCATAAGAAGTAAGCCATAGCAGTGATATAGACATAATGAGAGCAGCATATTAATTCAGTTTACTTGAATTCAGTTTACCCATAGAGCTAACTAACGGAGTGTTCCAATGATTTTACCATTTGTGAGTGAAATGGTGAGGGTGAGGTTTTCTTTCTGAAGTCCCCCCGACCTTGGGCTAGGGAAATCCTTTTGCATTTTCATCTGTCTGTCTTTTTGTTTTTAAGAGACAGAGTCTAACTCTGTCACCCAGGCTGTGTGATCACAGCTCACTGCTGCCCTGACCTCCTGGGCTCAAGTGATCCTCCTGCCTCAGCTTCCTGAGTAACTGGGACCACAGGCACGCCCCCTCATGCCCTGCTAACATTTTCATCTCATGACTTGAATACATACTTGAAAATTGCCCCTCTATTTGTCAGAGCCTGTAGCATCTTTTACATGTAATCTAGTGTTATATTTAATTACCTTTCATTTTCCAGGATTTTTTTTTTCTTTTCCATCTTGATGGTAGTTTTAAGAAAATATTTAATTTTTGTCTCAGACATAATTGGCTCCATTTGAGCAATCAGAGACATCTTTGACAACACACGGAAGTCGCTCCTCTTTTCAACAGCAGACCTACAGATTCTCTGGTTATTAGATTACAAGATGGATTATGTCATAAGTGCCTGCGAATGCGTAGTTGTATTTCTCAAAGATGAAATCTAGACCATAGGCTGACAGTTTTTACCTTCTTTTGATTAAAATTTTTGGAATTTAAAAATTTGGAATATTTTTCAGTTTTCATTGGGTTGACAGCCCATGAAGGTCTAGGTACTAATGGATGGAGAGGCTGATGGGCATGGGCTCAGCTGACACCACTGTGGCCTTTCACTGTTTCTTACATGCTCACTTATGCTTGCTTGGTGGGGTCTAGAGTTAGGTTGGGCCCCCCAGCTCCTGGAGTTCTCCATGAATTACGGAAGCCCAGGTTATTCACTGGGGCAAAGCAGGCAGCTGGGACATAGTTCCTTATTTCTGGAGCCCCCACCTGTGTAGTGTTGGCTGAGACACTACATCTGGTCACTGGAGTTTGGATCCCTGGCTGTGCGGCCACCAGGGACTTCTGTCCCCTGATATCTGCTGACCACACAGACACCCCCTGTGGTCCCTGGTTCCTCCTGTCTGAACTGGTCTCTGGTTCCCTCCTTTCCTGGTCTCGTGTCCCTGGTACCCACTGATATTGGGGCTTCTGAAAACCCACCTGGGGCCAAGTTCTAGCCTTATTGTTTTGCTCGTGAATTCTCTGGAGTGTGGCTTCTTCTTGCTGCTCTGCTCTGACTGGCACATGGGATGTCCCCCCTCATTTTGGGGTTGCAAAGAACCTGTGTGAACCTGCATGAACCTGCACGAACCTGCGTGAACCTATGTGAACCTCTGTGAACGTGTGTGAACCTGTGTGAATCTGCGTGAACCTGCGTGAACCTGTGTGAACCTTTCTGAACCTGTGTGACGCTGTGTGAACCTGCGTGAACTTGTGTGAGCCTTTCTGAACCTGTGCGAACCTCTGTGAACATGCATGAACCTGTGTGAACCTGTGTGAACATGCGTGAACATGCATGAACCTGTGTGAACCTGCATGAACCTTTCTGAACCTGTGTGAACATGCGTGAACCTGTGTGAACCTTTCTGAACCAGTGTGAACCTGCGTGATCCTGCATGAACCTGTGTGAACCTGTATGAACCTGTGTGATCCTGCATGAACCTGTGTGAACCTGTTTGAACCTGTGTGAACCTGCACGAACCTGTGAGAAGTGCTTCAGAGATACCCATAGGCGTTTGTTTTCCTCTGTGGGAAGATTTCAGGCCTGCAGCTGTTAATGTTGGGTTTCCAG